CGGGACGAAGCTGCTTCCTCTTCCTTCAGGGCTGCTGAGTCGAGCTTCTCCACGGCCTTGACCAGCTCTGCGTCGTCCTTTGGGAAGTACTTTGTCGCAACAGTCGGGACACCCACTGTACGCGGGATGCGACTCTGATAGGCAGCATAGCGGATGCTGGGGTCGGTAGTGCCTGCCAACACCTCTTTGAACAGGTCCTTCCTCGTAGCCTTCAGCAGTGCGCTGTAGATGACTCGCGCCGCAGAGTACTTGGTGAGGCACGGGGCCCAGCGCTGGGGCGTCGCGTTCTTGCTCTTGATGCCCTCGGCTTGCTTCTCAAACTCATGCGCTCCAGCCAGAGTGTAGGCATATGCCTTTGCTTCCAGCACGTCTGTCTTTGATGCTCCGCTTGCACTCGTGTTGGAGATGAGTTCGATAACCTGGTTCGCGTATTGTGTAGCCTTGTGTAAGCGCGAGAGGATGTGTTTACGCGTAGAGCCGGTGATGTTCTTGTCGGCGTTCTCGTCGGAGTGAGAGGCTTTCATAGCCATGGCCTGCGCCCATGCCCGTTCCGAATTCAGCAGGAGCAGGTGAAGAGCCCTGTCATAGTCAGCTTCTAGCATGCGCCTCCTACACGTGACTCGTACTCATTGTTGTTCTTGATATCCTCCGCCGTGACCGGGGCCTTTGCAGCATATTTCGCGTTCTTGGGTGTTGCCCGTCCGAGTTTCTTGTTCACAATGCGGAGACGTCGCGACAACTGCTCATGGTAGGTATTGTAATCACCGATGAGGAACGCCGACTCCCGGTAGTCGGTCACGAACTTGGTGATATCCATGGCCGGGCAGCTGGTGTTGAGTGCAACTGTGGGGATGCGGCTGATGTGGAGGGGCATCAATTGGCGAGCTATCCATGGCCCTGCCAAGCGAATCGGAATCTCAGGTCATGGTCGCGCCGTAAACTTTTCGAGACATCATAGACATCGGGCCCGCCACTGCCACACGCGCTACTCGTTCTTTCCCTTGTGTCTTTTGCTTTAGTCTTGTTCTTCTGGGTCAGCACTCTATACATTGTCTTTCCCCTCCACCGCTTTTTCTGTACAGTAGTCCTCATCGCATAGCTGGAGGCATGCACGAGTGTGGGCAAACCCCAACACCCAATCCTCTCGCCACCATATCTAATAGTTCCAGTTTATAGAATTTCTCACAGCCTCTGGTAATCTGCGCCGGCCCCATCTGCGCTTTCTACAGTCCAGGTGATGCTCGAGCGTGCTTCGACATGCCTCGAATCCGGCGGACGCCAGCTCTTGCGCCCTCCGAAGCCATATCTACGCAGTCGGCGCACGTTGCACCCAACCTCTCGGCACCACGGTGCAAGCGATCTCAGTCTCTCGTCTTGGCAGGCCGCATTCCCGACTATCCAAGAAACAAGTGGTGATGGTGGCAATGGAGCGGCGAACAAGGCCAATACATACCAGAAAACACGCGAGGGTCCAATGCTCGACTTTCTGTACCCGGAAAAGACCCTGGCGCTTCTTGGAAGACTATCCGTAAACCCGCTCAGTTCAATGGAACAGAGGCGACGACAGCCGTATGCGATTCGAGTCCGCCATTTTTCGACGATACAGGCGCAACCTGTGCAGGATGAATCACAAATGGATGCGGATAGGGTAGAACAGGCCAAAAAAGATGCGGTAGAGCTATTACAAGGGTCGGATGCAGTCATGGAATTGCAGAATTTCCTAGATTCGCCGCTACCTGAGAAGCAAGAGTTGGCCTGGCAGTTGTACACTAGCATTCCCGAAGATCGCTTGGCGGAAGTAGAGACACTGCAAGTACAGCTCCTGAACTATCTTGTCCAGGACGGTGAGCCTATATCACCGGAGCGAATCCTTCAGGTATTTGACGCGCTTCGCCCAGCCGCTCGACGGCTATCATCACATCGAGCAGCTATCAAAGCCTACGTTGCATTAGGGATGATAGGGCCGGCAGTTCGACAATATGACAAGCTCGCCAGGCCCATTGAATCAGGAGGTCCTAGTCAGATTCTGCTGCATAGTGGCATAGATGCCATCCTTCGACGAGCCGTACTCGACGAGCAGTGGGAACTCGCGTTTCGTGTCTTCAGAGAGTTCCATCGGAAAGCGCATTCCATTCGTGGTACTCCCACATACCACGCGATTCGCACCGGCAATACACTCCCAGAATTGTGGGGTCAGGCTGCAACATTACCAGAACTTCTGGAACATTTCGAGTCTTTCTTGCGTTACGTCAGGGAGTTTCAACACGAACTCACATCTACGCCATCTCGAGAGCGTGATCTGGCCTGCTTTGTCATGTCCTTCGTACCTCACGTAATGGATCGCGTCTTGCTTGCAGAAAAATTCGACGATGATTTTGTTTGGGATTACTTCATCGGGCTCTTTGATAGTCTCCACTCTCTAAATCTCCCCACTTCAACTTGCTACGAGCACGCGATTCGAAAGATGTTGGACCTTCCAAAATACCGAGAATACACCAACCAGCGAAAGATTCCGCTCGAGCTATATAGAAGATACCGGCAACTTTATCTCTATGGGGACGAAAGCACTTCCGAAGGGCCACCATCACGGGTCTTGATCAGGTCTATGATCTATCAGCATTCTTCGAAAGGCGGCCTGGGACGTGTTCAGGATCATCTACACGATTTACGCACCTGGTACCCAACTAAGCCGCTACGGTCTGGTCTTCTCAAGTACCTGATTCGTACGTATGCCAGGGTTGGTAATGTGGAGAAGGTGGACGAATACGTCAATGAGCTTCGATTACATCACCCAGACGAAGTGACAATCAGCGTTCTGTCATCACTTCCGTATGTGTATGCACGACGCGCGGATGTCGATGGCACCATCACCCAGTTCAAACGCATACACGAGGAGTTCCAGATGACCCCGGATACTGCTTGTTGGAATATTTTACTGCTTGCCTACGTCCGTTCCGAGGACCTCGATGGTGCTCTGGAATGCTTCAACAATTGCTTGGACTATGGCGTTGCACCAGACGTGAAAACTTTCGGGCCTCTGCTCGACTTCTGTGCCCATAGAGGTGATGTTGAGGCTTTCGAGACACTCTTCTCCAAAGCCAAGCAGATGGGGATACAACTTGACACGGATGTTCGTGCAAGAGCGGGCTATGTCGAAGCATTTCTAAATGCGGGTGATCCAGAAGGTGCCGAAGCGATCGCATATGGCATGCTCAACAGTTATAAGGCAGGGACACTTCACGGATACCCTCTCTCACACACATGGAACTTGTTGATCCAACGACGCGCCATGGACCGCGACCTAGCGGGTAGCAGGCAGCAATACAAACTCATGGTCGATAACAACATCCCGCTGGATAGCTGGACTTTTGGTAGTCTAATGCGAGCATTAGTCGAAGTAAAGCAGACTAACGCTGCTTACAAACTGCTGAGAGTCACAATGCCGGAACAAGGATACCGGGTCCATGCACTTCACTACGCCATAGTGATGACCGGTTTCTTGAGGGAGGGGCAGTATCAACTAGCTGTGGAAGCTCACGAAAGGATGAAGGCGCGCCAGGTTCCTCAAACCGAGAGCTCCCGCCAAGCTTCACTACAAGCGCTTGGTATGGCTGATTCTCGGCAGCTAAAGAGGAGGGGAGCCAAACATCCAAACTACAAGCTTCTTCGGGTCGAAGAGGCTCTTGAAGAGATGCTCGTCTCCAGTACAGCGCAGGAGATTGCGCACCGACAACCTGTACACGAACGATTTGACGATGTGGACAGCTTCGATGACCTTCGAGCGTCCTACTATGGCCTGATGATCTCGCTCTATAGCGCCAGATCAGCGTATAAACTCTGCAAGAAGCTTTTCCAAAAGGTCGAAGCAATGGCAGCAGATTCCGGCACCTACGCTATACCACTAACCCTGGTCACGTCGATGATGGAAGCGCATCTCAAGGCAAACAACCACGCCGAAGTCGCAAACTTCTGGGACCTCGCGCGCACTTCCGCGGCAAAACTCACCAAGACCTTCCACCAAGCCGTGAACCAGAGCGCCCCTGTCCCAGACGACACCTCCATCACCGACCCTTTAATCCTCCAACGCTTCCAAGAAGCGCACATCTCCGACAACCGGCGCCAGATCCTCGCCAAGCCCGCCCGCATCTACATCCGCAGTCTCCTCGCGCAGTCCGACACCGACAACCCCACCGCCGCGCAAGACGCCCAACGCACCATCCGCGACCTCCTCGTCAACGGCTTCACAGTCGACAACCTCACCTGGAACGAACTCATCCAGCAACTCATCCACCGCAACCACATCATCGACGCCTTCTCCATCTGCGAAGAATACCTCATGCCCCGCTTCCCGGGTTGGCGCGAACTCATCCCCAACTTCATCCGCAACGACCGCAAAGGGTTTCAGTGGATGGAGCTGCGTCCCAATGATCTCAATAAAGCTAGTGTGCTGCCGCGGTATAAGACTATTATTTTGTTGGCGAAGGCGTTTGGCCAGGTTAAGAGCGATGAGAGGAATGGGGTTGGGTATGATGAGGAGGCTGGGGCTTGGTTGGCGGAGGTTATTGAGGGGAAGGCGCCGTTGACTATGCGGGCTATTGATTCTATGCCGAGGACTTTTGATAAGTTGCAGCAGAGGCATTTTGGGGTTTTGTAGATGGTGAGGGAGGTGTATGTAGAAAGGAGGTGAGGGGGGCTGTATATGTGTAGATTACGTTGTATAGTATGATTTGAACGTCTTGCATGTGTTATGACTTTGGGTTGTTTACTGGTACTATGACGATGTATGCGGTTCACGTTTTGTTTGGGTCGCGTTGATGATTATAAGGTTGATGGTGGCGGTCATACTGCGCGATGCACGAAGTGCGTTCTTGGGAATGAGATGTCATTAAAATACTACGAAAGACTACCGATACACGCTGTTGAAAGAAAGAGATCGTTGCTGGTAGTGAAGACCGTGATTGCAGCACCCAAAGCCAGATAACGCCTGACGAAAGCAGACTTCATTCCTCCATGGCAAGCAACTCCTCCCAAGCTTCGGTTGGTCCGGCGTCCATATCATTGTAGAACTGATCGAAGTGCGCTTCGTGGTCAGGGTGCAAAGTGGTGTTTTGCGAGTCGTTGATGTGTAGGATTGTTGGTACGGTTGTTGGTGCTTTGACGTCGTAGTCGATGGCGCCGTGGGAGAGGAGGAGGTCGACGATCTCGTGGTGCCTGTAATCTTTCGCATATGTCAACGCTGTCCAATAGCGTCCTACTCTTACGTTTAAGTCGACGTCTTTGTGCTGGAGAAGTAGCTTCACTGCTTCCAATTTGCCGTGACGAGCGGCTACCGCTAGAGGACTCCCGTTATATACCCCGCATTTGTTCACGTCAATATCTGAGTAAGTTAACATAATTTCAATCGCCTCGCAATCACCCTTTTCAGCAGCGACATGGAGAATAGTCTTTTGCGTTCCGGGTAGCATTTTGTTCGGGCCTCCAAAGTCTGGACGTCTGAGAAGCCTGTGAAGTAAACCTTCTTTGGTGATCGAAAGACTTGTTGGCGAAACATCAAATGATACGCCACAACCGTCTTTCATTGACTCCGAGTGTTTGAGAAGCAAGGAAGCCGTTTCCCAGTGTCCATTGGAGGCGGCATAGTGTAGAGGTGTCGCCGCGTTCTTGTCTTGACAACTGGTATCAACACTTGGATGGCGAATCAACTGCGCTATGACCATTGTATGTCCGTTTGATGATGCATAGTGCAGAGGTGTCGCTTGGCGATTGTCTCGGCAATTAGCATCAACACTAGGATGATGAAGAAGCTGCTCTAAAATGGCCGCATGCCCATTGATGGCAGCCAGATGCAGTGCTTGCCTGCCGCGGGAGGTTTTCAAGGTCTTGTCGACGCGGCTGGAAGCGAGAAAGACTTGCATGACTTTTTCCCGCCCCAATATCGCTGCTAAGTGTATTGAGGCATAGCTATTTCCTTGCCGATAGTTGCAGTCGATACTAGGGTCATCAAGTAACTTCGCCACAAGTGCGTCGTGTCCTGTATGTATCGCAAATCTGAGCTTTTTCGGGGCAGATTGGTCTGTAAAATCGCATCCCAAACGGGCGAGATATGCATCGATGATGCCAATATTGCCCGATTGCACAAAGTAGTGCCTCAGTTGCAGTTCGGAACCTCGAATTTCTTCTTGTGTCAGAGACCCCAGCAAAAGCTCAAACGTCTCTTTGCTATCACTTAAAATAGCCTCGTGAATTGGCAATCGATTACTGCCATTCCTCACATCTACTCTTGCTCCAACGTCAAGCAGATACTTGACTACCTCTATCTGGCCGGCTCTGGCAGCGCAATGCAGGACGGTGGATCCGTCATCGGCCTTCGTATCAACTGTCAGGCCTGCATCCAGGAAGACTCTCAGCCGGTTCAAGTCGCCCAAAGTGGCTACTTGCATGAAGTTTGACGCACTATATAGCGGTGTAGTATTGAGGAGTTCGGAGTGCTGCAGTGAAGACTGTTTGCCGTTGCTCATCTTGACGTGCCTGCTTAGGAGCGTGGTACCGTGTTTGTTTCTTTGATGCCTTTTGAGGTTGTCTTTGCGATCCGATGTGAATGAACAGCGCTCGACATGGCAACGATACTGTTCGTTACCCGTGCGGTGTTGAGATTTAATGTGACGGCTAAGGTCTACACGAAGTGCGAAGCCTTTTTTACAAGTTTCGCAGATGAAAGGCTTGGTGTGTGTTTTCTCATGCTTACTCCCGTGCGTTAGCAGTGGCTAAGTGGACCAGCACACTGACTTACTTCAGCTTTCCCAGTGTATCTGTCTTCTTGGAGCAGATAGGACACACAAATTTATCGAAGGTCATTTTGATGTTTGCGGCATGCCAGCACTGGGCCATTGATTTATGTCTTCATCCACCTAGTTAGATTTGACGCCCCTGGGCGCGCAGCCAGTTTCCTGTCTGACATTCCAGATGAGGTTAGCAGCTTAGGCGCATTAGGTGCCCTCTGAGGGCGCGTAGGCCACATGTCATTGGTTTCGTAGCCGGTCTCATGTAGCCTCTTAATCTACCGCTTCCCCCAACCTCGCAATCATCGAATGCACATCCCCAACGTGAACTCATTCCGTCCTATCTCAATACCCTGAACTCACTCGCCGACACCGTACCGACTTCCTCCATACAATCTACCAAAGCTACAATCTCGAAACGATTAGCCACCGCATTATCACGATGTCGCAGCACTTTTCTGGACCGGTCCCCGAACGCGACTGCAACGATTCTCCAGCGTTTGTGGCAGACCACAATGAAGACGGCCAGAAGTCTGAGTAGGTCACTTTTTTTTTTTAATATCATGCAGGTATGCCTCCCACAAGTTGGGACTCGTGCGAGCAACACAAACGCACCCATACACTGTGCCCTCCCATCAGCCAATCGTCGATCACGACCACGCCCTCCTTTCTCAACAAGTCGCACAGACCAATGGGTACTTTCCATATACGCATGCAGGATACGATGCTGTCCCGCAGTACCCCTGTCCGATCAACCACTGGAACGATGTCGCCTTGGACGCCTACCACTCTGGAGGTTTCAACCCTAACGCTGCCTTTTACGGTACCCCATCAAACTTTCCGTATGATAACCCTGGAATGCAATCAGCCATCCCGATGACCCCCGTGATACCTGTCTGGGACTTCAACGGCGATCAGGACTGCGATCAGTCAAGCACTTTCATCACGCCTGGCGCTCAGCTGGACTTAGCGTCCTATCCAGCAATGGCCTCAGCCCCGCCAGCCCCGGTCCTTGCTCCTGCTCCTGATGCAGCAGACCGCATCCACTGTCCACATGGATGCCTAGCAACTTTCGGTCGCGGCGGAGAGTATCGTCGCCACATGATGATTCATGAGCGTCCCAGGTACAGATGCCCCATGGTCGATTGCCCCAAGACGTTTTCTCGCGCAGACAAGCTTCGCGACCATGCCAAGAAGGGCCACGGAGGTCGCAACCCTTTGAACCTCTAGTTGGTCTATGCTCTGAAACCCGGCCTCACGAATGCTTTCTCGAGTAACGCATGTCGGTCTTTACACTCTTGTCGCTGCTTAATTGGTACACTCGTTACTGCGTGCTTTTGTTGCTCCTTTTGCTTTCTAGTTACGTCGCTCCTTGATAGTAGTAGTTAGTAAAATCCCAGTCTCTCCTTAACTTTGCCATCTCCACCGTGACAACTTTCCCAACCTCAACGCTCAACAGAGCCTCACTTGGCCCCCAAAGTGCCCAGAGTCCGGTCAGCCGTGGCGTTGACACGTCAATACATAGGTAAGCCACATCTATTGAAGGGCACACTCGTCCAATCGCGAACAGAAAGGCTGCAGGTGCCATGGTCCTCCATGCGCAGTCTATCACGCGTGTTGTTGTGCGTCGAAGGGCATGCGCGTCCAATGACAGAGTGACGCGAAGTGGGGTCGATGCTGAGCTGGCGGGGCGAGGGGCACAGTGGCGTTGCTAGTGCGGGTTGGAAGGGCATACGGCTGTCGGGTTGCATGTCTCTTCAGATTCGCGGGAAGAATGCGCGTTGGACGCGCTTTGGAGCATCAATTAGACGTGTGGAAGAAGAAAGCAGGGTGAGCGCTGGCTTCCTCGAAAGGGTCAAGGAACGTGCGTAGCCTAGCTACCTAGGTAGCGCTACTCTGGTGTGATATATCCATTCCTTCCGACAACGTTCCCTTGCCAGACGTAACCATGTTCCCAGCGACTAGAAGACAATGTCGCGATTTTCGAGCTTCTCAGCGAAAGCTATGAGGCCCGAGCTACAGTTCAGCCTTGGAATCTACCAAGTTCTCTCCTAGGATAGTCTAAATTTGTTTCCTTTGCAATCCCAGGCACGTCTGGTGCAATGTTGGAGATAGCGTAGTCTACCTAAATCTCCTTCCAAGTCGATCTTGCTGCAGTTCTGTCCCTCGTAAGTTACTTGGAGTCGGAAAGCTCGGAACGGCATCGAGTCTGGTCTCGATTACGACGGGGAAACCGGGACATCCTAACGCGTCTGAGCACCCCATCCATGTAGTGCGGGGACGTGATATCTTTCCCACCAGAACGAACGCTACAGTGGTTCCACAGCTGCTTAACAAAGTGCGCAGGCGGTACCCTGCCTTTGTGGAAGTTCGCGAATACTAGAGCCATGATACATATATTGAGATCGTACTGAGGGCTATCCAGAAGGCCAGAGACGTGACGCCAGCAAAGGCGACATGCGTGACCAAAGATTGCTAAGCGATCCGCTACAACGAGGTTCTCGCACTCTTGTATGGTATGATAAATAAGATGGGTGTATGTACTCCAGCCCGGGTAAGGGAAGCCATACACACCGAATTTGTGTTCGACAGACGTCTTCTGTTGCATGGACCACGGCTTATGACACCCTGGATTATTTGCTTGCTGTGTATCGTTCATCTTAACTTTCAGAAGGGCGAGGCGGATCTGGATCTGGCGAAGATCCAGACATAAGTCTGTCCCTATAAGATGGTGTTGCACTGCATCTGAAGTCTCCTGAGATTCATCCATGGGGACTAGAAAGTCCAACCGCGTAGCGCAAAGCTTTTCCTGAAAGGCCCACGTCCGTGTGAACCACTTATCGTTTCCAATGGCATCAAGTAGCTCGTACGAGTCCCTAAGGTATGGTTGGAAGTTACTGGTATACCTGTAGTCCCATTCAGCCTCGTATCCCTTTTCCCAGTGTGCATACTTGATTCGATGATCCCAAAGATACGTGATCAATGACTCAGCAAGGGACATATCAGTAATCGTATACGACAGTGGAGCAACCGTCCACATGCTTCTTTCGTAAACATGGTGCATGATCTTCAAGTGTTCTTGAATATCCATAGGATCTGCCTGATCAATGCATTCCTGGTCGATCCAAAGGTATGGACATTCACGAGATCGTGCGAACAGCATAGCGCGATGGAAGACCCGTTCGGGACAGCTGATGGGCGTTGGTTCGCTTGTTCCCGGTCGACCCGTTATGTGATAGCGCGGAAGTGCCGATGAATCGAGCGAGCTTTGCGTTTGCTTCCAGCAGTATGATACCGTCACATACTTCAGGCCATCCTGGTATTCTTCCGGATTCGTGAGCCGATAGTCATTGTAATTGTCGTCTACAAGCCACTGGTCGGTTGATACAGGTGTAATAAGGCGAATTTGGATTGGCTCATCGATTGAAACTTCGTAAAGGGCTATGTCGTTGATCTTTTGGAGTGCCTCGTGAAGAGCCTCTGGGGTGGGGTATAGCTCATGGAATGGTGTTGCCCTGTGTAGCTCCATGATCGCAACTGCGTCGAGAATTTTGGAAAGATTTTGATTGTGTACAAGTATTC